CAAGTCTCAGGATTGGGTGGGCAGAGGTGGAAACACAAGTCTCAGGATGGGGTGGACAGTGGTGGATACACACTATATACAAGTCTAAGGATGGGGTGGACAGTGGTGGATACACACTATACACAAGTCTAAGGATGGGGTGGGACAGTGGTGGATACCCACTCTACACAAGTCTAAGGATGGGGTGGACAGTGGTGGATACACACTATACACAAGTCTAAGGATGGGGTGGGACAGTGGTGGATACACACTATACACAAGTCTCAGGATGGGGTGGGGCAGTGGTGGATACACAAGTCTCAGAGTGAGTGGAGCAGCGATGGATACCCACTCTACACAAGTCTAAGGTTGGAGTGGGGCAGCGATGGATACCCACTCTACACAAGTCTCAGGATGGATTGGAGCAGCGATGGATACCCACTTTACACAAGTCTCAGGATGGAGTGGAGCAGCGATGGATACACAAGTCCCAGGGTTGGGTGGGGAAGCGGTGGATACACACTCTACACAAGTCTAAGGATGGGGTGGGGCAGCGATGGATACCCACTCTACACAAGTCTCAGGATGGGGTGGGACAGCGGTGGATACACACTCTACACAAGTCTCAGGATTGGGTGGGGCAGTGATGGATACCCACTCTACACAAGTCTAAGGATTGGGTGGGGCAGCGGTGGATACACGCTCTACACAAGTCTAAGGATTGGGTGGGGCAGCGATGGATACCCACTATCCACAAGTCTCAGGATGGGGTGGGACAGCGGTGGATACACAAGTCTCAGGGTTGGGTGGGGCAGCGGTGGATACACACTCTACACAAGTCTAAGGATGGAGTGGGGCAGCGATAGATACCCACTCTACACAAGTCTCAGGATGGGGTGGGGCAGCAATGGATACCCAGTATACACAAGTCTAAGGATTGGGTGGGGCAGGCGATGGATACCCACTCTACACAAGTCTCAGGATTAGGTGGGGCAGTGGTGGATACCCACTCTACACAAGTCTCAGGATGGGGTGGGGTAGCGATGGATACCCACTCTACACAAGTCTCAGGATTGGGTGGGGCAGCGGTGGATACCCACTCTACACAAGTGTCAGGATGGGGTGGGGCAGTGGTGGATACACAAGTCTCAGAGTGAGTGGAGCAGCGATGGATACCCACTCTACACAATTTTAAGGTTGGAGTGGGGCAGCGATAGATACCCACTCTACACAAGTCTCAGGATGGGGTGGGACAGCGATGGATACACACTCTACACAAGTCTCAGGATGGGGTGGGGCAGCGATGGATACCCACTCTACACAAGTCTCAGGATGGGGTGGGGCAGTGATGGATACCCACTCTACACAAGTCAAAGGTTTGAGTGGGGCAGCGATGGATGCCAAATCTACACAAGTCTAAGGATGAAGTGGAGCAGCGATGGATACCCACTCTACACAAGTCTCAGGATGGGGTGGGACAGCGGTGGATACACAAGTCTCAGGGTTGGGTGGGGCAGCGGTGGATACACACTCTACATAAGTCTAGGGTTGGGGTGGGGCAGCGGTGGATACCCACTATACACAAGTCTAAGGATGGGGTGGGGCAGCGGTGGATACCCAGTATACACAAGTCTCAGGATGGGGTGGGCATGGTGGATACCCACTATACACAAATCTCAGGATGGGGCGGGACAGGGGTGGATACACACTATACACAAGTCTAAGGGGGAATGGAGCAGTGGTAGATACACATGTCTCATGGTGGGGTGGGGCAGTGGTGAATACCCACTATTGCTACGGTTAACAAAATTTGCCGTGACAAAAGGTTTAAGAGTACCCTTTGAACAAACAAAATGGAACACAGACAAGTCTAAAATATGTAATAATATATTGAACAAACAATGAGCAAGCTACAATGAATGACAATACAGATATCATTCTAGTACAAAATATTGGGTCACAAATATAAGATATCAACTCACCAGAGTCTTGACTTTTACAGTGTGAGCAGATATACTGATTGAAGGTTGGTTACAATGACAGAAGATGAGTAGGCAAGAACGATTGGTCTTCACGATGTTGACGATGGCAGACAGATGTACATAAATCGAGTGATATGAAAAGTCCCGATGCACAACGCAACAGCCTGCCTTAATATAGCTCTTACACAGTTCATGAGAATTCTAGCAAAGCTAGGCTTCATAATTATTCTCTCGGAAAGATATGGAATCATGTGGGAAAACACGGCATGATGAAAGCCGTAAATAAACAAGATTGCCAAGGGAGGCAACTCTGAAGCGCTATAAAAAAAGGCGTACCGCTAAAAATACTGTTGCCATTGAACATATATGATGCCTGATGCGAGCCAAAACTCGGACTCAAAACTTTCAACATTATGACCCATACTAATAATTAGGTGTTCTATCGGGTTTAGATCTAACGATAGGGAAGGCCAGGGCAAGACACTGGCGTTAGATCTGGCAAGGTAGAGAATCGTGACGCGTGCTGTATGTGAAGTAGCGTTGTCATGCTGGAACAACTCCATCTGTCGGTCATAATCGGAAACATGTGACATACAAGCACTTCGTTGATGTACCGATTTGTGGCCAAATTGCCCCGAACCACCACTGAATCAGATCTTTGTGTGCTGGATATTTCTGCCCAAACCATGGCACTGCTTCCACCGAATCTGTCGACCTGTCGAATGCAATTTGGGACAAAACGTTCATTTCTCCGACGGTAACCACGCTGTCTTCCATCTCGCAAGTGAACTGATCATCACTGAACCCGACTTAGGTACCAGTTTCTTAGGTACCATTTCCAGAATCTCCGACACCACCGCAAACAATTACGCCAATAGACAGTTTGGTCAGAAACTCTTCTCAAACCAGAGATGTAATGTGCCGTCTCCACGGCTGTTGAAAGACGATGAGCAGCCAGGCTGTAGCGGTCCTTGGATTGGGGGGTAACTCTTTGACGGCCGCTTCCCGAGCGATCTTGGGTGGAATTGGTCTGCAGGGAACGATCCCAAAGGCGAGATGTGGTGCTCTGATGAACGTTGAAATGTCGGGCAACTGCAGACTGCGACTCCCCAGCTTCAAGACGGCCTATGGCGATGTTTGATTGGCGGCTCTCAGTTGTGGCATGATGATTTCCCCCTTTCCAGGCAAAACCGAATGACAGAATTAAACTCTTTTTGCCTTTTTATAGTGATCGATACCGCATGCTCTTCCGCTTACTTGCACGTGCATTTTGCTTTGCATGTTTCTTTGGTGAGGTTTTGGCGAATATTTCTTCAAACGCTTCTAAACCAAGGAAAAAATTGCCGCGAACTGCAATCACACAAAGATGACGATTTGGAAAGAAATAGTATATTTGTATTGTTTTTGCTGCAGCTACGGGAGTCCAATATTCATTCTCAAAATCACCAATGCTTTTCTTTTTTTTGTGAAGAGTATAATCAGACCCGGTACAACAGACCAGAACAGCACATTTGTGCGTTAGATTAATTCATCAGACGTAAGCCTGGTACATCCCTCAAGTACCCCAGATTAAACCAGAATATATCGGATACAAGAAAAATATGCTCAAATGTCTGTAACTGGTTTTCCCCAGCCGCGTCATACCAAATGACGTTAAAATATGGTACTTGTTGGTCCCTGCTTGGCACTCGGCATTAATGAGTACAACAAGGACTGGTCGGCTCAGAGTCAGTATACTGTGTCTGAGTGGGGTATTCGTGTTCACTGCGGCATGGTATCTCAGTGAGCTAGCACTTTGAAACCAGCTTAAGTCTGGGCTAGTACAAGCAGCCACACATACACACACATGCACGTCGTCATAGGAGCGAAATATTCTTCAGTGCGGCCTTAAACCTCATTTCACCTCACCCCATCTGTAACGCGATTTATATTTTGTTTGTTGTCTAAAGCCGCACTCAGCTATCTTCACGGGTGGATTTATATCAGAATGTGACCAAATTCACGTTGTCCGTAACTCATCACGTAACTTTCTTTGATGCTTTGTTTTCCCTCTTTGGTTATTGTTACCCATTATCATATTCACCTGTATCTTGTATATAAACTGGTGTACTCCATCATTCCCTCATATGCCCGAAAACGGTATAAGAAACTATACCGAAATGTCGCTATTGTTAAAATAAAGAAGTTGATCACCCATAAAGTCTTGTCATCTCTAAGTTCCCGAGTACTTCCAACATGTTCATGAGTACTTCCAACAAATTCCCGAGTACTTCCAACAAATTCCCGAGTACTTCCAACAAATTCACGACTACTTTCATCAAGTTTCCGAGTACTTCATACATGTTCACGGGCACTGACAACATGTTCACGAGTACTTCCAGCAAATTCTCGAGTACTTTCAGTATGTTCACCAGTACTGACAACAAGTTCATGAGTACTTCCAACATGTTCACGAATACTTGCAGCTTGGTCATGAGCACTGCCAAAAAGTTTCCGAGCACAGCCAATATGTTCACGATTACTGCCAACACATTCACGGGGACTGCCAACAAGTTCACGAGTACTGTCAAAACGTTCACGAGCACTCCACCCTCGCCCTTAGCTCCATCCTTACCGTTAGCTCCACCCTCGCCCTTAGCTCTACCCTTACCCTTAGCTCCTCCCTCGCCCTTAGCTCTACCCTTACCCTTAGCTTCACCCTCGCCCTTAGCTCTACTCTTACCCTTAGCTCCTCCCTCGCCCTTAGATTTACCCTTACCCTTAGCTCCACCCTCGCCCTTAGCTCTACCCTTACCCTTAGCTCCTCCCTCGCCCTTAGCTCTACCCTTACCCTTAGCTCCACCCTCGCCCTTAGCTCTACCCTTACCCTTAGCTCCTCCCTCGCCCTTAGATTTACCCTTACCCTTAGCTTCACCCCTCGCCCTTAGCACTACCCTTACCCTTAGCTCCTCCCTCGCCCTTAGATTTACCCTCCTACCCTTAGCTCCACCATCGCCCTTAGCTCTACCCTTACCCTTAGCTCCTCCCTCGCCCTTAGATTTACCCCTTACCCTTAGCTCCACCCTCGCCCTTAGATTTACCCTTACCGTTAGCTCCTCCCTCGCCTTTAGATGTACCCTTACCCTTAGCTCCACCCTCGCCCTTAGCTCTACCCTTACCCTTAGCTCCTCCCTCGCCATTAGATTTACCCTTACCCATAGCTCTACCCTCGCCCTTAGCTCTACCCTTACCCTTAGCTCCACCCTCGCCCTTAGCTCTACCCTTACCCATAGCTCCTCCCTCGCCCTTAGCTCTACCCTTACCCTTAGCTCCACCCTCGCCCTTAGCTCTACCCTTACCCTTAGCTCCCCCCTCGCCCTTAGATTTACCCTTACCCTTAGCTTCACCCTCGCCCTTAGCACTACCCTTACCCTTAGCTCCTCCCTCGCCCTTAGATTTACCCTTACCCTTAGCTCCACCCTCGCCCTTAGCTCTACCCTTACCCTTAGCTCCTCCCTCGCCCTTAGATTTACCCTTACCCTTAGCTCCACCCTCGCCCTTAGATTTACCCTTACCCTTAGCTCCTCCCTCGCCTTTAGACGTACCCTTACCCTTAGCTCCACCCTCGCCCTTAGCTCTACCCTTACCCTTAGCTCCTCCCTCGCCCTTAGATTTACCCTTACCCTTAGCTCTACCCTCGCCCTTAGCTATACCCTTACCCTTAGCTCCTCCCTCGCCCTTAGCTCTACCCTTACCCTTAGCTCCTCCCTCGCCCTTAGATTTACCCTTACCCTTAGCTCCACCCTCGCCCTTAGCTCTACCCTTACCGTTAGCTCCACCCTCGCCCTTAGCTCCACCCTCGCCCTTAGCTCTACCCTTACCGTTAGCTCTTCCCTTACCGTTAGCTCCACCCTCGCCCTTAGCTCTACCCTTACCGTTAGCTCTTCCCTTACCGTTAGCTCCACCATCGCCCTTAGCTCCACCCTTACCCTTAGCTCCACCCTCGCCCTTAGCTCTACCCTTACCCTTAGCTCTTCCCTTACCGTTAGCTCCACCATCGCCCTTAGCTCCACCCTCAAACTTAGCTCTACCGTCACATATACGAAGTAACATAGGATCGATTCTTAGCACGTTCGTTGTTGTTTTTTTCAGCTATTATTTTGTTGTTTTACTTTAGTTACCATTTCCTGTCTGTGATAAGCGATCCTGTGTTGCTACTATTGAATATGACGTCGTATTTTTAACGCATCGGATCCGATCTTGTGTTTAAGTCATAAATTTTGAGCTGTGTGCAGCCCCTCTAGGTATATGTAAGAATCCCATATACATTGTGTTGTGTTAATCGCGTCATGGTTTCTGGACCCTAACTCTTTGACTTGGCTACTCTTTCTGGACCTGGCGACTAATAAGACCCGTAAGTAGGTCACGGGACTTCGCAAGACCTTAGTACTTCCGGTGACAAACAACGTTTCATACTTTTTCGAATGACCTCGTGGTTGTCAGTTGACAGTAACCGATAATCCTTGCAGGAATGAAACATAACCATCCCAAAATTAGACAACTATTACGACTATCAAGCATGGTTGTACACTTTGTCCTGGGAAATCTTGAACCGGAAGTAAGCTGAGCCCCATCTCGCATATCGCGTGTTAGTACCGGAAGTAGCGCCTCGCTAGACTTACAAGCCATATAGATTCATGATACCCGTGAATATCCGAGTCAGAATTGGTCTTCAGCAACCCATGCTTGTCGTAAGAGGCGACAAATGGTGAGACTTGGTTGACACATGTCAAAAATGCGTAGATCGGGGCTCATACTGTCAGTCAGTCAGTCAGTGTAGTTTTACGTCGCTTTTCGCAATATTCCAGCAATATCGCGGCGGGGGACACCTGATATGGGCTTCACGAATAGAAACACTGCAGCCATTCTGTCCATTAGGTGCAGTGAAATGCAGACAGAGAGCAGGTCTATGTTTGTCTGGTGTTAAGGCCCCACTCAGCAATTTTTGGCGACCTGAAATAGTCAAGACTGAACCAGGCAATCCAGTGTTCGACTTGAGCAACGGTCTGTGAACAAAGACAAGCCGTCGACAACCAGAACTATTTGGTGGCCTTTGACTTGCATGACTAAAAAAAACATGAAGCAAACAACGTATGTCAGTTACGTCACAGGGCAAAAGTAAAATAAGTTCACTGCTTTGTGTTGGAGAGCGGGTTTTGGCGTGACAAATTGCGATTGTTCGTTATTTAACGCCGCACTCAGCAATATTCCACACATGTGGCGGCGGTCTGTAAATATTCGAGTCTGGACCACACGAACCAGTGATCAACATCATGAGCATCGGTATAAGCAATTGGGATACGATGACATTTGTCAACAAAGTCAGAGAGCCTGATCCCATCAGGCGCTTTTTACTACAAGCATGGGCTGCTGAAGACCAATTCTTACTCGGATCTTCACGGGTGGGACACACTGTGATATCCGAATGTATCCGTTGAGCGTACCGATGATATCTCACAACAAAGCGAACACAAATCAGTTTTAAAGAATATGTTTAATAAAACGGTTTTGAGAAGAAAATAAGTTTATCACAGATACATACATGGCAAATATTCTGAGAGACATAAAAAGGACGGTATGGCGATATTAAGAAATGTAATTATAGTATATGCCGGGATTTAAAAGCATTCTGAAAAAATAATCGTAAGACTTATAGTGACAGGTTTGCTTTTGAATACCTGGATCTTGTGAGACACACACTCGCTATCTAATGGTTAAAGGTTTTAAAACTAAAATTTAAAGAAGAGATAAAATACGTGTGCAGTTTACAAGCGTGAGTTACATAAATTACAATCATACACGAGAAACATCTAGTATAAAACTAACTATTCATGAACACTGAAATTGTAAATATATGCTTTACTATTTTGTAAACATGAAATATATATGCATAAAGCTTATTTTTTCCGATTGTCTGTGTAGTTTCAATGTTTGACATTTACTGTTATATAAATGGTATGACGGTGGTTTAATAACCCATATAAAAGATTAATTTGTTAAATGTAATGTTAAATCGATAGTGCTACCATGGTGGTTATTTGTGTAGTGTGAGTGAGTATAGTCTTACTCCACTTTTAGCAACATTCCAGCAATATCACAGCGGGGAACACCAGAAATGAGCTTCACACATTGTACACATGTGGAGAATCGAACCCGTTTTTTTCGGCGTGACGAGCAAACGCTTTTACCACTGGGCTACCGCACCGGATCCTTGTGTATCAATGACGTCACCGTGGTTTATTTGTTCGTAAATGCTGTATCTATGGAAACAATGACGTTATTTATACACATTTCACAGCAAATTAAACACTTACGGTACCGTGAATATATAAGTCTTGCAGGGGAAAAGAAATACTGGAAATACATTTTTGTCTCAAGTTTTTCACACACACAAATTGTCCTTTAAACACGCTAAATGTGATATAATTTTCTTTTACGAGAAACTAACGGCGTCGAAATAACCAGAAACATTTTTGCCTCATCACTGGTCATTTGCGTGAGAACACGGGTAAGCTTTCAGCAAAAAAAAACGGGAAATATCAAAGAGACAATATTTCCTACGGGAATCGAACGCTGGTCTGAGGAGCCACAAGCAAACACTTTATCCAGAGCCTTAAAGTGAGATAACAGGAATGTATTCACATTTTGTACCCAAGGGTTGAATCGAACGTGAGTTAAAGACTTCCAAACGCATTACAGGTCTAAAAGTGAGATCGTGGAAATGGTTTCACATTTACCATCACTGCAGGTGTTAAAGGCCTAGAGCGAAAGCTTGAACCACAGGTCTGAATTGATAAATAGATTCAGCAGTATTAAGTTCCAATATATATGCTCATCATGAGTTATAACACTCACGACACGTCATGAACGGTTATATAACAACAACATATAAATTCTCACAATATTAATACTAATCTAAAATACTTAACGTATAACAGTCTTATTTTAAACAGAAGACAAAATGCAAGGCATCTTTCCGGGTAAGGCTCAATTTACAGAAAACATGGACCACACAAGTGTCCTCATGACATTAACATTGAACGTACGGTGTTAAGTTGGAAACAAATAAACATGATAGTTATAGATTTCCGGATAATGAAATTCTTTGATTTAATGATGTTTTTAAAAATGTTATGGATTATTTGTTCAATTATACAAAGTACAAATCACGTGCATTAATATGGGTCTGTATTCACAAACTACAATGAAGTTAGTTTCATAAACATACACACACGGTAAAACACACAACATAACAACAAAGTAAACAGGGTTATGTTATACGCTACAATAGTAATTAATGTGTGCACAGGTGCGTGGCGAACACAATATATTTCTCTGGTGACGATTTTCAAATTGATAATCAAACTTAAAAAACCATTTAAAATACATCGGGAACATGACATTTCACATGACGAAATATGTATTAAAATTTAACAACTTTGTAAATATATATTAATTTTTTGTATTAATATTCACATTTATGTAAATGGATAACAAGTTCATAACGGTTTATCTATGTGAAGACATTAATAAATACTATATTTGTTTATTTCTTCTTAGCACTTTTCTTTGAAACATCCAGGATGTTGTTGTACAAAGCGATCTTAGCGCTAAGGTAATTGTGACTCCAATACCTGAATATATTCCTACGGCAGCCTTAGCACTAAGGTTGTTTTGTATGACGGCACCCTGAACAGAAGCCAAGTGCTGTTTAATTCAGGTGGGTTTGGTACCATTGTCCGAAGTGGTCTAGTCAGACGGAAGGGGCATCTTCTGGGGCATTGACCGTGCACTGACACTGGACGTTGGTCTGTCGTTGTACATGTCCATGCGGCTGTCCACGCTGAGGGCGAATGCTGTCCCTGCCGTCGCCGCGGGTGCGTTGGGGACGGGTACTTGGTTTCTAATGCTGTTGAATGTCTTCTCACGGAACAGGTAGTCTTCGATGCTGTAATTGCCCTTGCCAAGTGCCCGAACGTCTGCGCTCGAATCTGATAAAATAAGCGAGTGAGTTTAGTTTTACGTCGCTTCTACCAACATTCTATCACGGCGGGGGACACCAATATGGGTTTCACACATTTATACCATGTCGGGAATCGAACCCGGGTCTTTCGTGACGAACGGACGCTTTAACCACTATGTTATCCCCCGGCCCCTGATAAAGAAAATATATATGATATGAAAGCAAATACTTTAAAATAGGATGTTCATGTGTTTTATTTCCAAGTAAGATAATCCTATAAGGGGGAGAACTATTAATATTCTTTGATATATTTCCTTGTTTGTTGCCTAATGCCATACTCAGCAGAACTTCATGTGGCAGTGGTCTGACATAGGGCTGGCCCAGACCTCGAGAGAAGTGAGTGAGTATGGTTTTATATAGTAACTGCTTTTAGCAATATGCCATCAGTATCAGGGACCTCGGATTGTTTAAAGGAGAGAGCATCTTTTTTTCACCACAGCTTCGAAACAAACAGTTTGGATAAACAGGGTGGATATGAAAATATGGTTTGTAGGAAGATTTGAGTGAACAGTATATTTTGTGAACCTGAATCAAAATCGTATTTTCTGGATATTATTTTTTAAACACATGTCATCGGTTCCCAATCGCGCAGATCGATGCTCATGCTGTTGATCACTGGATTGTCTGGTCCAGACTCGATTATTTACAGACCGCCGCCATATAGCTGGAATATTGCTGAGTGCGGCGTAAAACTAAACTCACTCACTCACTAACCAGGTACATATAATATCCTGCTGTAATATCCTACAGAAACCGCAGCCGTCACACAAGATTAGTGTGAATGAAACACTCATTAAACACAGAAAACACACACACACACAAATTGGAAACGTCACACGAAGTCCTGCAATGGAATCCAAATACCCAGACTTTTACAAATTGGAGTAAAAAAGAAATTACCTTAATAGATAATAATGACGATAACAATCATAATCATAATGATAATGATGATCGCATACCGATCAACACTGCGTCAGAAAACGTGCTTTCGCAAGTCTCCGTAAGTAGTACCAAAGACTACCAAAGATAACCAACATCCCGACTACCAAAACGTACATCTATATAATGTATGAAAGCAACGATTTTCAAAGCGACAAGATGGAATCTGATAAAGGAGGGTGATAGTTTCACAGAACGATGGTCAGGCTCGCTGACTTGGTTTACACGTCATCGGTTCCCAAATGCGTAGATCGATGCTCATGCTGTTGATCACTGGGTTGTCTGGTGCAGACTGGAATATTTACAGACCGCCGTCATATTACTGTGTGCGGCGTTGAACCACAACCAACCACCACAACAGCCCGAGCGCTAGGGGTATCCCCAATGAGCGCTACAACCGTTACAAGAACGAGCATCCCGGTGACAAACTATTTTAAGTGTTTATTCGCAACCAACCCCCATCGGCCACCACACTCAAGCATCCATATACTGACATTCGCCTTCTTCGCAGTTAGCTTCACACCATGTTAGTAAAAAACACTAACAAGACAATGGTTAGTTAAGTTTCAACAACGAAGCGTCTAATATCAATAAAACTTGTTAAGTATTAAATAATTGTATTGAAGATATCTCACCACTTGCTACTTCCCGAACGTCTGTCGGAAAAAAGTTATTTGAAGGTGAGGTGAAATGGGGTTTAACGTCGCACTTAAGAATATTTCGCTCATATGAGGACGTGCATGCGTGTGTATATGTGACTGCTTGTACTAGCCAGGACTTAACCTGGTTTTATAGCGCTAGCCCACTGAGATACCATGCCGCAGTGAAGCATGAATACCTCTCAGGCACATTATAATAACTCCCGAGCCGATCAGTTCTTGTTGTACCCATTAATGCAGAGCGCCAGACAGGGAACAACAAGTACCATATTTTAACGTCTTTTGGTATGACGCGGCCGGGAATCGAACCCGCGACCTTCCTCACTCCGGGCGGGTGACGAAAGAGAGCCTATGGTCGAAGATGTAAATTAAGAAAATATGAAAACATGTCGAGTGAAATAGTAAAGCGATGATGCAATAATTTTAACATATATGTTTCGTTTGTTTACCTAGCTTTTCTGTCAGGAAAGCCTCAATTGAATATCAAATTATTCAGATTTGCACCATTTTAGATCGGTAGACACATAAGGATGTACTGAACGTTTCGGGTAAACGTGTGTTCAATGCCTACCGTAGGTCTTTGTCTTGGGCACGATGACGAACTTCCAGACGAGGAATATGACGAGGATGATGACGAAGAGTAGGATGACCAGTACAATAGCGGCGATGATTCCGGGGCTCAAACCTTTGTCTGCGTTCTGTTAAAAAATCAAACGTTGTCTGAAATAGGACCTTGGCTGATAAAGAAGCCGAGAACATTGGTGACTCAGACACTTAAGCTTGATTTAAGTCGCCGTGTGGATTCTTGTTGTCTCAAGGCCATTGCTAAATCCTGGACCCAATGTGCGGATTCACAATGTGCTCACCGTACGTTTGTAGCTTAAATATTGAGGTCAATAGTTAAATATGTGTCTCAAACGTGCATCGTCAGTACTTAAATATTTGTTTCAAACGTGCACCGCAAATACTTCAAAACGTGTCTCAAACGTTCGCCGTCAATACTTCAAAACGTGTCTCATACGTGCGCCTTCAATACTTAAATATCTGTCTCAAACATGCACCTTCCTTACTTAAATATCTGTTTCAAACATGCACCATCAATACTATCACATATCTGTCTCAAACGTGCACCGACAGTAATGAAATATTTGCCTCAAAAATGCACGGTCAATACCTATATATTTTTCTCAAACGTGCACCGTCAATACTTCAGTACGTGTCTCAAAGGTGCACCGTCTATACTTTAATACGGGTCTCAAACGTGCACCGTCTATACTTCAATACGTGTCTCAAACGTGAAACCGTCAGTACTAAAATATCTGTATCAAACGTGCACCGTCAAAACTTAAATATTTGTTTCAAACGCGCACCGTCAATACTTCAAAACGTGTCTCAAACGTTCGCCGTCAATCCTTCAAAACTTGTCTCAAACGTGCACCGCCAATACTTCAAAACGTGTCTCAAACGTGCGCCTTCAATACTTAAATATTTGTCTCAAACATGCACCTTCCTTACTTAAATATCTGTCTCAAACGTGCACCGCCAATACTTTAATATATCTGTTTCAAACATGCACCATCAATACTATAAAATATCTGTCTCAAACGTGCACCGTCAGTAATGAAATATTTGCCTCAAAAATGCACGGTCAATACCTATATATTTTTCTCAAACGTGCACCGTCAATACTTCAGTACGTGTCTCAAACGTGCACCGTCTATACTTTAATACGTGTCTCAAACGTGCACCGTCTATACTTCAATACGTGTCTCAAACGTGCACCGTCTATACTTCAATACGTGTCTCAAACGTGAAACCGTCAGTACTAAAATATCTGTATCAAACGTGCACCGTCAAAACTTAAATATTTGTTTCAAACGTGCACCGTCAATCCTTCAAAACGTGTCTCAAACGTGCACCGCCAATACTTCAAAACATGTCTCAAACGTGCGCCTCCAATACTTAAATAGTTGTCTCAAACATGCACCTTCCTTACTTAAATATCTGTCTCGAACGTGCACTGTCAATACTGAAATATTGTTCTCAAACGTGCACCGTCAATACTTTAATATATCTGTTTCAAACATGCACCATCAATACTTTAAAATATCTGTCTCAAACGTGCACCGTCAGTAATGAAATATTTGCCTCAAAAATGCACGGTCAATACCTATATATTTTTCTCAAACGTGCACCGTCAATACTTTAATATGTGTCTCAAACTTGCACCGTCTAAACTTTAATACGGGTCTCAAACGTGCACCGTCTATACTTCAATACGTGTCTCAAACGTGAAACCGTCAGTACTAAAATATCTGTATCCAACGTGCACCGTCAAAACTTAAATATTTGTTTCAAACGCGCACCGTCAATACTTCAAAACGTGTCTCAAACGTTCGCCGTCAATCCTTCAAAACTTGTCTCAAACGTGCACCGCCAATACTTCAAAACGTGTCTCAAACGTGCGCCTTCAATACTTAAATATTTGTCTCAAACATGCACCTTCCTTACTTAAATATCTGTCTCAAACGTGCACCGTCAATACTGAAATATTGTTCTCAAACGTGCACCGCCAATACTTTAATATATCTGTTTCAAACATGCACCATCAATACTATAAAATATCTGTCTCAAACGTGCACCGTCAGTAATGAAATATTTGCCTCAAAAATGCACGGTCAATACCTATATATTTTTCTCAAACGTGCACCGTCAATACTTCAGTACGTGTCTCAAACGTGCACCGTCTATACTTTAATACGTGTCTCAAACGTGCACCGTCTATACTTCAATACGTGTCTCAAACGTGCACCGTCTATACTTCAATACGTGTCTCAAACGTGAAACCGTCAGTACTAAAATATCTGTATCAAACGTGCACCGTCAAAACTTAAATATTTGTTTCAAACGTGCACCGTCAATCCTTCAAAACGTGTCTCAAACGTGCAACGCCAATACTTCAAAACATGTCTCAAACGTGCGCCTCCAATACTTAAATAGTTGTCTCAAACATGCACCTTCCTTACTTAAATATCTGTCTCGAACGTGCACCGTCAATACTGAAATATTGTTCTCAAACGTGCACCGTCAATACTTTAAAATATCTGTCTCAAACGTGCACCGTCAGTAATGAAATTTTTGCCTCAAAAATGCACGGTCAATACCTATATATTTTTCTCAAACGTGCACCGTCAATACTTTAATATGTGTCTCAAACTTGCACCGTCTAAACTTCAATACGTGTCTCAAACGTGCACCGTGTATACTTCAATACGTGTCTCAAACTTGAAACCGTCAGTACTAAAATATCTGTATCAAACGTACACCGTCAATACTTAAATATTTGTTTCAAACGTGCACCGTCAATCCTTACAAAACGTGTCTCAAACGTGCGCCTCCAATACTTAAATAGTTGTCTCAAACATGCACCTTCCTTACTTAAATATCTGTCTCGAACGTGCACCGTCAATACTGAAATATTGTTCTCAAACGTGCACCGTCAATACTTTAATATATCTGTTTCAAACATGCACCATCAATACTATAAAATATCTGTCTCAAACGTGCACCGTCAGTAATGAAATATTTGCCTCAAAAATGCACGGTCAATACCTATATATTTTTCTCAAACGTGCACCGTCAATACTTTAATATGTGTCTCAAACTTGCACCGTCTAAACTTCAATACGTGTCTCAAACGTGCACCGTGTATACTTCAATACGTGTCTCAAACTTGAAACCATCAGTACTAAAATATCTGTATCAAACGTGCACCGTCAAAACTTAAATATTTGTTTCAAACGCGCACCGTCAATACTTCAAAACGTGTCTCAAACGTTCGCCGTCAATCCTTCAAAACTTGTCTCAAACGTGCACCGCCAATACTTCAAAACGTGTCTCAAACGTGCGCCTTCAATACTTAAATATTTGTCTCAAACATGCACCTTCCTTACTTAAATATCTGTCTCAAACGTGCACCGCCAATACTTTAATATATCTGTTTCAAACATGCACCATCAATACTATAAAATATCTGTCTCAAACGTGCACCGTCAGTAATGAAATATTTGCCTCAAAAATGCACGGTCAATACCTATATATTTTTCTCAAACGTGCACCGTCAATACTTCAGTACGTGTCTCAAACGTGCACCGTCTATACTTTAATACGTGTCTCAAACGTGCACCGTCTATACTTCAATACGTGTCTCAAACGTGCACCGTCTATACTTCAATACGTGTCTCAAACGTGAAACCGTCAGTACTAAAATATCTGTATCAAACGTGCACCGTCAAAACTTAAATATTTGTTTCAAACGTGCACCGTCAATCCTTCAAAACGTGTCTCAAACGTGCACCGCCAATACTTCAAAACATGTCTCAAACGTGCGCCTCCAATACTTAAATAGTTGTCTCAAACATGCACCTTCCTTACTTAAATATCTGTCTCGAACGTGCACTGTCAATACTGAAATATTGTTCTCAAACGTGCACCGTCAATACTTTAATATATCTGTTTCAAACATGCACCATCAATACTTTTAAAATATCTGTCTCAAACGTGCACCGTCAGTAATGAAATATTTGCCTCAAAAATGCACGGTCAATACCTATATATTTTTCTCAAACGTGCACCGTCAATACTTTAATATGTGTCTCAAACTTGCACCGTCTAAACTTTAATACGGGTCTCAAACGTGCACCGTCTATACTTCAATACGTGTCTCAAACGTGAAACCGTCAGTACTAAAATATCTGTATCCAACGTGCACCGTCAAAACTTAAATATTTGTTTCAAACGCGCACCGTCAATACTTCAAAACGTGTCTCAAACGTTCGCCGTCAATCCTTCAAAACTTGTCTCAAACGTGCACCGCCAATACTTCAAAACGTGTCTCAAACGTGCGCCTTCAATACTTAAATATTTGTCTCAAACATGCACCTTCCTTACTTAAATATCTGTCTCAAACGTGCACCGTCAATACTGAAATATTGTTCTCAAACGTGCACCGCCAATACTTTAATATATCTGTTTCAAACATGCACCATCAATACTATAAAATATCTGTCTCAAACGTGCACCGTCAGTAATGAAATATTTGCCTCAAAAATGCACGGTCAATACCTATATATTTTTCTCAAACGTGCACCGTCAATACTTCAGTACGTGTCTCAAACGTGCACCGTCTATACTTTAATACGTGTCTCAAACGTGCACCGTCTATACTTCAATACGTGTCTCAAACGTGCACCGTCTATACTTCAATACGTGTCTCAAACGTGAAACCGTCAGTACTAAAATATCTGTATCAAACGTGCACCGTCAAAACTTAAATATTTGTTTCAAACGTGCACCGTCAATCCTTCAAAACGTGTCTCAAACGTGCACCGCCAATACTTCAAAACATGTCTCAAACGTGCGCCTCCAATACTTAAATAGTTGTCTCAAACATGCACCTTCCTTACTTAAATATCTGTCTCGAACGTGCACCGTCAATACTGAAATATTGTTCTCAAACGTGCACCGTCAATACTTTAATATATCTGTTTCAAACATGCACCATCAATACTTTAAAATATCTGTCTCAAACGTGCACCGTCAGTAATGAAATTTTTGCCTCAAAAATGCACGGTCAATACCTATATATTTTTCTCAAACGTGCACCGTCAATACTTTAATATGTGTCTCAAACTTGCACCGTCTAAACTTCAATACGTGTCTCAAACGTGCACCGTCTATACTTCAATACGTGTCTCAAACTTGAAACCGTCAGTACTAAAATATCTGTATCAAACGTACACCGTCAATACTTAAATATTTGTTTCAAACGTGCACCGTCAATCCTTACAAAACGTGTCTCAAACGTGCACCGCCAATACTTCAAAACGTGTCTCAAACGTGCGCCTCCAATACTTAAATAGTTGTCTCAAACATGCACCTTCCTTACTTAAATATCTGTCTCGAACGTGCACCGTCAATACTGAAATATTGTTCTCAAACGTGCACCGTCAATACTTTAATATATCTGTTTCAAACATGCACCATCAATACTATAAAATATCTGTCTCAAACGTGCACCGTCAGTAATGAAATATTTGCCTCAAAAATGCACGGTCAATACCTATATATTTTTCTCAAACGTGCACCGTCAATACTTTAATATGTGTCTCAAACTTGCACCGTCTAAACTTCAATACGTGTCTCAAACGTGCACCGTGTATACTTCAATACGTGTCTCAAACTTGAAACCGTCAGTACTAAAATATCTGTATCAAACGTACACCGTCAAAACTTAAATATTTGTTTCAAACGCGCACCGTCAATACTTCAAAACGTGTCTCAAACGTTCGCCGTCAATCCTTCAAAACTTGTCTCAAACGTGCACCGCCAATACTTCAAAACGTGTCTCAAACGTGCGCCTTCAATACTTAAATATTTGTCTCAAACATGCACCTTCCTTACTTAAATATCTGTCTCAAACGTGCACCGTCAATACTTTAATATGTGTCTCAAACTTGCACCGTCTAAACTTTAATACGGGTCTCAAACGTGCACCGTCTATACTTCAATACGTGTCTCAAACGTGAAACCGTCAGTACTAAAATATCTGTATCCAACGTGCACCGTCAAAACTTAAATATTTGTTTCAAACGCGCACCGTCAATACTTCAAAACGTGTCTCAAACGTTCGCCGTCAATCCTTCAAAACTTGTCTCAAACGTGCACCGCCAATACTTCAAAACGTGTCTCAAACGTGCGCCTTCAATACTTAAATATTTGTCTCAAACATGCACCTTCCTTACTTAAATATCTGTCTCAAACGTGCACCGTCAATACTGAAATATTGTTCTCAAACGTGCACCGCCAATACTTTAATATATCTGTTTCAAACATGCACCATCAATACTATAAAATATCTGTCTCAAACGTGCACCGTCAGTAATGAAATATTTGCCTCAAAAATGCACGGTCAATACCTATATATTTTTCTCAAACGTGCACCGTCAATACTTCAGTACGTGTCTCAAACGTGCACCGTCTATACTTTAATACGTGTCTCAAACGTGCACCGTCTATACTTCAATACGTGTCTCAAACGTGCACCGTCTATACTTCAATACGTGTCTCAAACGTGAAACCGTCAGTACTAAAATATCTGTATCAAACGTGCACCGTCAAAACTTAAATATTTGTTTCAAACGTGCACCGTCAATCCTTCAAAACGTGTCTCAAACGTGCACCGCCAATACTTCAAAACATGTCTCAAACGTGCGCCTCCAATACTTAAATAGTTGTCTCAAACATGCACCTTCCTTACTTAAATATCTGTCTCGAACGTGCACCGTCAATACTGAAATATTGTTCTCAAACGTGCACCGTCAATACTTTAATATATCTGTTTCAAACATGCACCATCAATACTTTAAAATATCTGTCTCAAACGTGCACCGTCAGTAATGAAATTTTTGCCTCAAAATGCACGGTCAATACCTATATATTTTCTCAAACGTGCACCGTCAATACTTTTTAATATGTGTCTCTCAAACTTGCACCGTCTAAACTTCAATACGTGTCTCAAACGTGCACCGTCTATACTTCAATACGTGTCTCAAACTTGAAACCGTCAGTACTAAAATATCTGTATCAAACGTACACCGTCAATACTTAAATATTTGTTTCAAACGTGCACCGTCAATCCTTACAAAACGTGTCTCAAACGTGCACCGCCAATACTTCAAAACGTGTCTCAAACGTGCGCCTCCAATACTTAAATAGTTGTCTCAAACATGCACCTTCCTTACTTAAATATCTGTCTCGAACGTGCACCGTCAATACTGAAATATTGTTCTCAAACGTGCACCGTCAATACTTTAATATATCTGTTTCAAACATGCACCATCAATACTATAAAATATCTGTCTCAAACGTGCACCGTCAGTAATGAAATATTTGCCTCAAAAATGCACGGTCAATACCTATATATTTTTCTCAAACGTGCACCGTCAATACTTTAATATGTGTCTCAAACTTGCACCGTCTAAACTTCAATACGTGTCTCAAACGTGCACCGTGTATACTTCAATACGTGTCTCAAACTTGAAACCGTCAGTACTAAAATATCTGTATCAAACGTACACCGTCAAAACTTAAATATTTGTTTCAAACGCGCACTGTCAATACTTCAAAACGTGTCTCAAACGTGCACCGCCAATTCTTCAAAACTTGTCTCAAACGTTCGCCGTCAATCCTTCAAAACGTGTCTCAAACGTGCACCGCCAATACTTCAAAACGTGTCTCAAACGTGCGCCTTCAATACTTAAATAGTTGTCTCAAACATGCACCTTCCTTACTTAAATATCCGTCTCAAACGTGCACCGTCAATACTGAAATATTGTTCTCAAACGTGCACCGTCAATACTTTAATATATCTGTTTCAAACATGCACCATCAATACTATAAAATATCTGTCTCAAACGTGCACCGTCAGTAATGAAATATTTGCCTCAAAAATGCACGGTCAATACCTATATATTTTTCTCAAACGTGCACCGTCAATACTTCAGTACGTGTCTCAAAGGTGCACCGTCTATACTTTAATACGTGTCTCAAACGTGCACCGTCTATACTTCAATACGTGTCTCAAACGTGCACCGTCTATACTTCAATGCGTGTCTCAAACGTGAAACCGTCAGTACTAAAATATCTGTATCAAACGTGCACGGTCAATACTTAAATATTTGTCACAAACGAGCATCGTTAATACTTAAATATTTGTCACACATTTGTACCGTAAATATATTAATATTCGTCACAAACGTGCCGTGTATTATGTACTCACAGTCGGCCCACACGAGACTCCGTACGCCATCTTGCCATCCACCATCATGTAGGGCATCAGGCTAACACTCTGTCCGCCGAAACTGTACTTCACACCATTCTCCACGTCCTTGCACATTTCGTCCATTGCCTGACTGACGCCAGCGTTGCTGCCCTCCAACACCAGTGTGGCGAGGACGCTGCCTGTAACAGCGATAGTGAATGAGTGAGTTTAGTTTTACGCCGCTTATAACAATATTCTAGCAATATCACGGTGGGGGACACCAGAAATGGGCTTCACACATTGTACCCATGTCGGGAATCGAACCCGGACCTTAGGCGTGACGAGCGACCGCTTTAACCACTAGGCTACCCACCGCCCCTGTAACAGTGAGAGAATGGGTTAGGTTTTATTAATTCGTTTTTAAAACTCTGTGTTTAAGTGAATAAAACGTTTACTTTGGCCAATCCTTAGACAACTGGCTGTGTAATACCCAAAGAGCTTTAAAATTAGTCTTCTTGGGCTCAGTCGAGGTTTCTGAAAGGGATATCTTTGGGTGTCTGCCTATGGGTATCCAGTGGGTTAGCACTGTAAAACATGTATTAGAAGAGACTTCGCTTCTAGGTATTTACAAACGCAAGTTGATCTTAGCAGATCTAAGGGACGCAACTCCGCACATGCCCTGGAGGCGCCTTAGAACAAAAGCTCACCCGTGACTCCGGTGCCATGCAATAAAACCAACCTTGCTCAAGTAGTTTAATTTCTTGGATTATTATTCATATTTTGAAAATATGCATTCTTTTATCGTTGAATGTCAGCACCATCTCTTTCGAAAATTACAGCTCCAGACACGGACGTACTCACCTGATGCTGCCGTGGAGTCTTTAACTTTCATTCCTTTGTTTTTCTTTGGGATGCCCCATTTTCTGCCGAGCCTCGCCACATCCTTAGCTGACTGCACGGGGTCATACCTGGTGTCGAACTTGACCTGACACATAGTCGTCTTCTCCTTGGGCATTCCTTCCAAGGCAGCGTTGCTGATGTCAATGTAGCCCTCGTAGATGAAGTCGTAATCCGCTGGCGTTGACGTCACATGGAATTCGATGTAGTAGCGCCCGATTTCGTCAATTTCGAGGTCACTGAAAGTGGCCAAGCCGGTGGAAGCGTCGAAACTGACCGTCTTCGTCCCGGTCATATTGCCCTCCGTCATCGAAGCTGTCACCGACCACGTGTGACCCTGGATTAGAGAAGTGCATGAGTGACTGAACAAACCGAAACATGAGTCTCTTTAACCTATTCCGACAATGACCTACTTTTCAGCCGATGCGAATTTTCTCGTGTGAAAGTGAAAAGAGACACTACAAACAACTATGGTTACACTAAATTCCTATTCCTCGTTTCATAAAACTAAACTCACTCACTCACTCACACTGATTTTCTGTAACCCACAGCCATTTTGACTACTTTAACCCACAATGTAATCGGTCTCGGCGGAAAATCGATACTGGTTAATATTTGGTGCTACAATCATGCATTCATTATGTTTAATACACAATTATAATGTCACTACACTGGGTTCAACGTGAAACGCGATTTGGACGAACCAAAGTTACAATCATGGCGGAGTGTGCGTTCAACAACAAAGCTGAGAGTGAGTGATTTCGGTTGAATTCCGATAGATCACAGCCTGTTAGCTAACTGTTTACAAGTTGATGGTGTTATTTCAGAAATGCTGAAATACTCATTTCCTGACATTATGCCCTTCCTGGTTAAAATGTTCAATCGAGTATTTGATACAGGTCGTTTTCCTTCAGTATGGGCGCAATCTATTATTATCCCGTTATATAAAAACGGAAATGCACAAAATCCTGACAATTATAGGGGTATTTCTCTGACTAGTATTCTAGGTAAAACTTTTACATCTATTATCAACAGTAGGTTAACACAATGGTCGAATATGAGAGATTTAATACCGGAACCTCAAGCTGGATTTAGAAAGGACTACTCAACATTTGATCATATATTTACCTTGTATGCTATTATTGAGAGATATTTATCCTTTAGCAAGCGAAAGTTGTATGTAGCTTTTGTAGATTTAAAAAAGGCGTTTGATTCTGTAGATAGAGGTAGAATGTGGAAATGCTTAAGAAATATAGGTTTGAGAGGTAAAATGTATGGTATCATAAGATCGATGTATTCCAATGTAAAGTCATGTGTCCGCTGTGGCTATGGTGTAAGTGACTTTTTCGATTGTCCTGTCGGTCTGCGTCAAGGATGTATTTTAAGTCCTTTACTTTTCTCCTTTTTCATTAACGAATTATATTTAGATATCATGAAGTCTGGTAAACATGGCATCCAACTTTCTCCCGATGTAATCGAACTTTTTATGTTATTATTTGCTGATGATGTCATTCTTATGTCCAGCTCTGTAATTGGTCTTCAAAACCAAATAGATATACTCTCAGCGTATACAGATAAATGGCAGTTGAGTGTGAATCTAGATAAAACAAACATCGTTATATTCCGTAGAGGTGGTCCTTTGTCGGCTAGAGAGAAATGTTTTTTTTAAAGATAAACGTATGAATGTTGTGAATGATTATAAATACCTTGGCATATTGTTTACCCATACGCTGAATCTGAATAAGTCCGTACTTAACCTGGCGAGGAGAGCAAAGAAAGCTCTTTTACAACTTCACTCTGTTGTTCCTATGCTCGGTCTTGTTCCACCGACTATTTACTTCAAATTATTTGACTCTCAGATACAACCGATTTTACTGTATGGATCTGAAATATGGGGTGTTAACGAGTATTATACCATAGAGTATTATATCATTTGCTTGCCTGTAAAAAGTTTCTAAATGTTGGTTTGTCAACACCAAATGTTATGGTTTATGGTGAATGTGGGAGGTTCCCATTGTACATATCATCTTATTGTCGTTGTTTAAAATATTGGTGTAAAATAATTAATATGTC